ACGGTGCATCTTCTAAGAACCCGAGAGGAAAGTGAGCAAGTAGTAGTAGTAGTAGTAGTAGTAGTAGAACGCAGAAGTAGTTGAAGTAGATTACGCAGGTATGTGTATGGTTGTGCAGTCAGCAAAATGTGTAGACCTTCGCAGGCCAATCCCAAAGAGGGAGGAAGCGAAGGCCGCAGCCTCGTTACGACATGTCAGCCATAGTCTAAACTCATAAAGGGGGGGGGTTTATACAAGGGATTGTATAGGGGACTACTATGGGGGTGATTAAGGGGGATACTAGGAGTTTTGACTATAGCTCATGTGAAGTATGGTTTTGGGTAGGGATTGTTCAGGGCGTTCCATAGTCCTCCTTGCGTAGCAGGTTGAGGGTTAAGGTTTCAGGGCACATAGAATGTTGAAGATTGCATTGCAGGTGCTTTGGCTCTGGTTCAAGGCGTGTGGACTTCTAGAACAGAGCCCCAGAGAAGCCGCTTTCAAAAGGGCTGGAATCGCTGCAGGGTCATTTTACAGCTCCATGCTTAGCTTGGGGGAAGGTGTCTTCAACAGAAACGTGACTCCACCATCAGCAGCAAAGGTTGGTAGTCATGCGGCTACCATGAGTCTCCCCACTGTATGAGCTGTAGCCCGACTCCGTAAGGAGGGTTATATGACCTACGGACTAAATTTATGTTGGGGGGGACCTATAGGGGGAAAAAATAGGGTTTAAGGGGGGACAGATTAATGGATATACTACAAATTTAGTCCAGGGCTCATATGGGGAGTACATGGGGAGCATCGCGGGGGGGATACGAGGAGTTTAGAATATAGCTCATATAGGCCCAAACCGGATTAAGGTATTGTTGAGGGCTATGGCCATGGAGCCTCATGGTTTTGGGGGGGCCATGTAGTGCTACCGTCGTTGGAAGAACTTTTGCGCCCCTTTCACTTTTCGTTCCTGAGACGTTACATTCCCGCTGTTTGAAGTGTCGTGTACTACATATATGTACATAATATATATAAACCCTAAACCCTAACTCCTAAACCCTGTATACGTCAATGTATATATAAATATGTGTATATAGATATATATGTATGCATATTCGCACGTGCATATAGCAGCGTGATGCCAACTTTACCTCATCTTCCCTCTGCGTCTAGGCCAGTTGAACAAGAGCCACGACCTGTCAACGAAGCCCTGGGCTTACCTTGCATTGTATTTGCTCAAGTGGGAGTGGGGGAGTGAACATCAGCGCTGAAATATATGTATATCATGCATATGTATATACATATATATATATATGCACCATACATATTTGTGTGTATCTATTGGGATTATGCAGGGGTGGTTAATTTGAGGTATATATGAGGATTCTGTGGATGTTTAGAGGGATCCGCTGCCCAGCAAGTTGCAAGCAGGTACTTTCTGCATCAACCAGGTTTGCGTCTGCTGTTGAGATAGGGGTATTCAGGAATACACGTATGCCCATACGTATACATGTTGTGAACGCGGGTTCCGTGGGGTATTGTGTATATATATATATACATATGTATGGATTGCAAGAGGTTGAGAGAACTCCGATAGGATCTGCAATGTTCTTGAGCTGTAATTCCCACATGGGAACGACCTTACTTGGAGAAGTACCCGAAACATCTCTGAGGCCGCGCCACCGCAACGCAAACTCGAGTTACTTGCGCCGGCTCCGGCCCCAGATTTTCTGTTGCTTCTACGTCGCGTGTACATCTGGCTGTTTACTTAGATATGGGAGGCATTCGCGGGCCACAATAAGGATCCACTTCCCTAAAGCACATAAAAGACGAAGCTGAGGTGGTGTTGACCGCCGAAACTATCTTCCACCCAATAAGCAGGCCGCGCAAAGATAGAACCTGGAACGGGACCCTTGTAGACCACTGATCTTGTTTTGGTTCATGCGTGAGGCTCCGTCTTACTGTAGTTTACTGATATGGTAGTTTCCCTGAATATGGGGATTTCAATATAGGCCCCAAATATTATGATGCTTAGAGTAGGACCCCCCCAAAAAGTATTCCTAATCTTGGTAAACCCTACGTAAACCCTAAATAGTAGTTTCCATTTTCTTTTCCATTATCCCAATACAACCCCAATATATATAACCTATTATAGTACAGTAGTTTCCATTTTATTTTCCATTATCCCTATATAACCCCCATATTACCCCTAGGGGAGGGTAGATTCAGGTGGAGAGCTTCCTGAAGAAGCACGGCGTGAGATGTCGCAGGCAAGTCTTGCATTTTCAGAGAGGGTGGGGCTTACTTGGAGGGTTAGGGAGACTTAGTTAGGGTTTAGGGTTTATATTGGGTATATATAGGGGTTATATGGTAATAATGGAAAACAAAAAATGGAAGCTACTATAGTAT